TTTTTTTTTTTTTTTTTTTTTTTTTTTTTTTTTTTTTTTTTTTTTTTTTTTTTTTTTTTTTTTTTTTTTTTTTTTTTTTTTTTTGTGAAAAATAACTTTTAATCAAATTTTATCCATTATTATTCCAATTTTTTTTAATAAGTTATTCAAATAAATTCTTTTAATACTTTTATATTTCACATTTTTAAATTTTTAAAATTTTATTTAAATAATAATGTTCTTTTCTTAGGGTTAAAAAACTCTATTTTATTTGAGTAAATTCGTAAGTTAGAAATATTTTTTTATGTATATATACACGTGTATATATATATATTATGAATATTTTCCTAAAAATTCTTTATAAAGGTGTGAAAACATCTCCTGTAACAGCCTAAGTTCAATGCTAGCAGATATTATTTGTTTTGACCTGTTACGTATCATCGTTAGTCTCACAGTTTTAAAATGTTTCTAGTAGGTACAGGTTTCCACACCCTTATAATAAATGTTTTATTCTCTTATTTATCAAATTAGAGTGGCGTAGCAGAAACGTGGTGGACCCATAACCTTCAAGTCTAAGATCAGTTGAAACTTAACTCTAATAACATTTGTAATAGCCTAAACTTATAAGTCCACCAAAATATTCGGGAAAGATATGAAACATTTTTTTAACGACACGTGACCTCTTGATCAAGAAGACGTGTGTACTAGCCAATCTTTTTTTTTTTTTTTTTTTAACCTGAACATTCAAAAAGGTTTAAAAAATACGTGTATAGTAAACAGAGTTAGAGAATGAACTACAGTTCGTGTCGAGCCTCGAAGGCATAGTAAAAAATGACTAAGACTCAAAAAGTCTCGATTAAGGGGAGACGTACTTTGTTTGAGAGAAGGTGTTGGATGAAAATCCCACATCGACTAATTTAGGAAATGATCATGGGTTTATAATCAAAAGAAAAGTATCTTCATTGATATGAGACCTTTTGGAAAATCTGAAAGCAAAGTCATCAGTAGTTCATCTAACATGCTATCATAGCTATATCAATTCATTCCTATAATATATTTTAATATCCAAAATATGAATACATAAAAGGAAAATGGGCCGACTGAGGCCCAATTTAGATCGGAAAACATCGAAACTCTGTGCACTTTGGGGTAAGGTTAGAGTTAAGAGTACAATAATTTATTTATTTATTTATTTATTTTCATATTTTGAAAATTAAACCAAAAAGAACAATGAAGAGGAAGCTGTTTGCCTCTCTGCGTAATCAAATACTTTTCTCTCTCTATCTTCTTCCCCATAGCCGCCGCGCTGCTGCCACATCCGCCACCAGCTCCGCCCATCGCCGTCGTATGTGCTGCTGACGCATCCGCGTCCGGTGGCGCTTTACAACTTTTTTTTTAATCATTAAATAGAATAATCTCAAAGGTCAGTTTCTTCACCCTTTAGATTCCAGGTTGGTTATCTTCAATACAACGATATCAATATCGCCTTTCATTCGTCGTTCGTTATCGTATACTTTCACTGATTACTACTTGTTCTTACTCCCCCGAACGCTTTGGCTTCGATTGTTTTTTGTGTTTTTCTCAGTCTATACGCAATTTCATAGGATTTGTGCGTGTGTGTGTGTGTGTTTTTTTTTGTCTTTTCTGAGGTGTTGAAGAATCTGGATTTCGATATAGAGAACTGGAATTTTTTTTTAATTTTTTTTATGGTGTTTATGTTTTTTCTTGTCTGTTTCGATGAAATTCTCTGTCACTGAAGGTTGTTTTGGGATTTCGCTTATGCAGTTTATAAACCTCCAATGGCAAGGGCGCCAGCTGGTAATGTACACCCAGGTAAAAGGACCGGGGTTCGTATAGTTATTGCCGGGGACCGTGGTACCGGAAAGTCGAGCTTGATCGTAACTGCAGCGGTAGACAATTTTCCAGTGAATGTCCCCCCAGTATTGCCACCGACGAGGCTGCCTGAAGACATTTATCCAGATCGTGTTCCCACCACAATCATCGATACTTCATCACGGTAGTAGTTGCTATGTTTGTTTTTTTTTGTTCTATCTCGATGCTGATGCGAAAAGGATGTGCTAATTGAGCTATAATTTCTGCCTTTAGCATTATGGGCTCGATATAAGTAGTTTCCAACTTAAATAACTGGAGAATTCTGCTACCCATGGCAAGATATCTGCATACCATTTTTCCTTTTTTTTTTTTTTTTTTTTTTTTTTCCATTCCCCTTTTATGGGCGAAAATTTAATAGAAAAGAGAGACCAGAATATTGGCATTGTTTTACTTTCTTCTTTGCTGCTTCTTCCGTACTGTGGGAAATTTGATTGTTAAGAAACTGGAAGATTTATGAGGAGTTCAGTGGCGATGGAAAGGGAGAACAGGGGATGGGTATGATTTCACTTAATACCTAGGCTCCCGATCTTTGTTATTTCTCATTTATTTTGTTGTTGCTCGTTGGAGCATCGTTGTCTGATTTCTGTAGCTTTATAGGTCTAATAAATCACATGAGTTCCTGCTATATTGTCATACGTATTGGTTATTGCCTGTGTCCATAAGGTTTTCAAGGATGAATCTAGAAGGTCTCTAAGGTTCTGTTTTTGTTTTTTTTTTTTGTTTCTCCCAGCACTGAAGATAGTGCAAAAGTTGCTGAAGAGCTTAAGCGAGCTGATGTAGTTGTGCTAACTTATGCTTGTGATCAGCCTCAAACCCTCGATCGGCTGAGTACTTTTTGGCTTCCTAAACTCCGTCAATTGGAGGTTAGTTAACTCTTATGCCCTACTTGGGCATTGGTGGATAGAAAGTCAATAATAACATCCCTGAGCTTGGAAACTAACAAGTTTATCTAGTCAAGTCTCATTAATTTGAAAACCTTAGCATTCCCTTTGTTGAAATCAGCTCAGTATTTCGCAAGTCATTTTGATCATTTTATTGATGTTCATTATAATGGTTTAAACAAGTAGGTGAGGGTTCCAGTTATAATGGTGGGCTGTAAGCTGGATTTAAGAGATGAGAATCAGCAGGTGAGCTTGGAGCAGGTTATGTCCCCAATAATGCAGCAATTTCGAGAAATTGAAACATGCATTGAGTGTTCGGCATTTAAACATATTCAGGTATATTTGTTGCTCCATTAATCAGGTATATCATGTTGACTAATATGTGTTGTAATTTTTTTTCTTTTTCCCATTTGGCTAAAGTTTGCAACTGTGTCCAACTTGATTTATTGGTCCATGCTGATTCACTGCTGATTAGTGTTTTCATGTTTATATGAAAACATTACCATCTATACCTCTTAGCTGTGAATTTTCACTTCCCACATTTTTGTGTAGATAAGTATTAACGCAACAGAATTACGTGTTTTCAACATTGTATTATTCCATTTGCAGATTTCTGAGGTCTTTTACTACGCCCAAAAAGCTGTACTTCACCCAACAGGCCCACTTTTTGATCAAGAAACTCAAACTTTAAAGCCTAGATGCATCAGGGCACTGAAACGGATATTTATTCTATGTGATCACAATAAAGATGGTGCTTTGAGTGATGCTGAGCTGAATGATTTTCAGGTCTTCCTTTCCATAGTCTACAAATTTTTTGGCAACAACTCATGAAGTATTTATTTATATATTAGTTACAGTGTCTGACATTTTAATATTAAAATGACGGATTTGACTCATATGGAGCCCTTACTCTTATTATTATTTTTTTGTTAATTTTGTAATCAGGTCAAATGTTTCAATGCTCCTTTACAACCTTCTGAAATTGTGGGGGTTAAGAGGGTTGTGCAAGAAAAACTTCCTGAGGGAGTAAATGATCATGGGCTCACTTTGACAGGATTCCTCTTTCTTCATGCCTTATTTATAGAGAAGGGGCGTTTGGAGACAACATGGACCGTACTCAGGAAGTTTGGGTACAATAATGATATCAAACTTTCGGATGAACTTATCCCAGCTCTTGGAAAGAGAGCTCCAGATCAGGTAGTGAAAAATCACATGGTGGCCATCCTCAACTTCTGTAGAATAGGTCAACTGCCACCACACTGCCAAAGACTTGCAAAATCAAAGCTTATCATAATATACGTTGAATTACTACAGTCTATATGATTTTGTATATTAGTTATCCCTCCTATATTTTTCTGGAAACAGTTACTTCTTACACATTCATGGAGCAGGCTTTTAATTTCAAATGCATATGTGGGCAATGTTTTTTTGAATGGAAACAACTAACTTTTCATAGATAGATGGCTGACTTTGGGTCGTGAAATTCTTCACTTCAATTGGGGACGGAGTGTTTTGCTTGTTTTGTATTTTTCATTTTGAGGAATGATATAATTCTATTAAGAAAGATTTAGGATTTGGTTATTTTTCTTTTATCAGGCTTCAGTTGGTTTGGTAGGATAGTATATTACACTTACTAATTGTATCCTTTTGTTATGTCATTGACTTTGTTTTCTAAAGTGTTCCGTATGATTCAAATTCTAGTTTCAATTTCTTATTTGACAGTTGTTCTTTCTGTAGAGTGTGGAGCTGACAAATGAAGCCATCGAGTTTCTAAGGGGAATATTTGAGCTCTATGACAGTGATGGTGTATGTCTTCGTCTCTAGTTTCCTGAATTATAAATTATTTGTTGATTTGTTGATTTCTCAACCGAGTTTAGTGCTTGAGTAATTGAATCTAGCTTATAGATATGTTTTAATAGCCAAGTAGTTGTTACAAACTACCTGGAACTATTGATCACCTCCATATTTTTTTTACCCACCAGAATGGTGCCTTGCGGCCTCGTGATCTTGAAGAACTATTTTCTACAGCACCCGAGAGGTATTAAATATTAATTATTGGCTTCACTGCATTTGGCAGTTCTCTTCATATGTCATTTTGGGAATCATTGTTCTATTTTTAAGCTAAAAATTGCATCCTTGTGCATTGAACCGAAAATAATCTTTCATTTCTCTCTCTTATTCGTTTGTTTTTTTGCGATATGTTCCAAGAGGAGAAATGTTGGCAAAGCACTTGTGTAAATTTAACCAAATAGAAACCAAATAATGATTTTGAATGATTCTAAGCATGCAACCTAAGCGGTATAGAATTACAAAGAAGCTTAGCTTAGATTAAAAGAAAAGCACAAATGCTCTTTGTACTCCATTTTTCAAATCTATTTTATAAAGGCAACATACATGACTTTATATAGCCTCAAAATGAAACCCTTGACCTTCTATAAAGCATTTCAAGGGTTGTAACTTTCAATATTATATAACTGTAACCTAGTAAATAAAAGAATCTTAAAACTTCAAATACATTAACGAAACACCATAAATCTAGATTTCAATCATCCATCAAGAATTTGTAACCATCTAAGATTAAATGAAACTGCACCTGAAGTATCTTGAAACCCTTGTTACATAAATGATGCTGGATTCTTCTTAATTGCAACTTCACTTTATCTTGTTGTAGTTTGAACAACATTCTTCACAACTTTCTTGAAGTTCATATTGTATGATTGATATGATTTGATATTATATCAATTGCTCTTTCAGCCTAGTCTTCTATTTATACTCTTGACTCAGTTGTGAATGATCAATCATATTTAAGGTGCGGTTTTTTAGATCCTATGATCCTATGACCATCCTTACGAAACGGGGTATTGAGATCTTTTCCAACGTTTATTAGTTGAATATTTTGGCAACCATTATTCTCTCCACATGATTTTTTTTTTTTTTTGACACACTAATGAGCTTCCATGATTTCATTGGACATGCAACTATCACTTTGAAACTCCAGTCCTTGGAATGAAGCACCATACAGAGATTCTGCAGAAAGAAATGCAATGGGAGGATTGTCGATTGATGACTTTTTATCACTGGTATGCTTGTAACCCCGAGTTTTTTTATCAGTTTTCCTAAACCTGATATATTTCACGTCTCCCTTATTATATCACTTAAGGTGCTTGTATATTCTTCTCATTTAACCCCTCCACCCTATCCAGCATTCAGTTTGAGACAGGATAGATTTTTCTTCTAAAAGAAGTTTATTATAGTTGTCTATTCTTCTTCAATTTCTGCAGTGGTCTCTCATGACACTCCTAGACCCAGTTTACACCATAGAGAACCTGATATACATTGGTTACACCGGCGATCCTGCATCTTCTGTTCGTATAACAAGGAAACGACGGTTGGACCGCAAGAAGCAACAGTTGGACCGAAATGTTCTTCAGTGCTTTGTGTTTGGGCCTAAGAAGGCTGGAAAATCTGCTTTATTGGATGCATTTCTTGCAAGGTTTACTATCAACACTCTGTAATTATCTAGTTGTTTGAGCATTAATTCTATAGTACTTGATATAGAGCATGTCATATGTTAATAAAAGGATTTGATGCACAGGCCATTTTCTGAGACTTATACTCCTACCACTGAAGAACGCTTTGCAGTGAACGTTGTTGACCAACCTGGAGTAAGTGCTGCTATGCTCTTGTTTTGACAAAATTATAAAACATGGATTCAAATTTCAGTTTTCAAGGATTTAATATATCATGTGTTACACAAATTGTAAAACTGGAAGCCACTAAACCTGGAGGAACTCCTGTTAGTCTACTTGTTCACCTTTATCGAGGATGCAGAAGATTTCATTTCTTTATTGTTCTTCACCATTGAAGTTGTTGCACTTTTGATTATTTTTCTTTACATGTATTCAAACATTAGTAAAATGATAATTTTTATGGTTCATAAGCTATATGATGTTTGCTGTTATCTGATAATTTCTGTCTGTGTAAATTTCTTTCTTGGTTTAAAGGGAACAAAAAAAACCCTTGTTTTGAGGGAGATACCTGAAGATGGAGTGAAAAAACTGTTGTCTGTCAAAGAGTCTTTAGCTGCTTGTGACATTGCACTATTTGTGCATGACAGGTAACTTTTCTAATGGAAACGGCCATTGCTTATTAACAATGTTACGCTATAGTAGGATGATGATATTTTTTTACTTTGGATTGAAAATGGCATTTGTATTTCTTTAGTAATTATATTCTGTCGAGGATTATTAATGATCGACAAACACTAATGAAGCTGTTGTTGGGAGGGGGTGGTCTCTGCCCCTGGCCCTTAGGCTGTATTTTCATTTTAAGAGCATGCAATTTTCGTAGATATGTGAAAAATTCAAAGGAATGAGATACTCACCCAACTTCTTAAGGGTGTTTTTAAATGCTACTCCAGTTGGTGTAAATCAAAAGAGAATTGTAAATACGAAAGAACTTGGAGAGAGTACATGAGGAAGAGCTATTTGATGAATTACAAAGAATTCCTCCCCAATCGAGATTTCTAAAGAATGGCCATAACCTCTGATGCTCTAGATTTGTACGTCATTATAAGTAGGGTATACTAGGTTGCTTAAATTATTAATCTAAGAATGGTGTGCCCCAAGTCTTCAGTAACAAATTAATTAAAAAAAAAAATTCCTTCTGTTCGCCTTTTCCATTTTTTCATTTTGTTAATGATTGGTTCGCTAGTTGTATGGACTAGTAGTCGTTCATTTTCTCTTTTCTACCAGTAGTTTTTTTTTTTTTCTCTTTTCTTCTCGTTAATGATTAGTTATCTAGTTGCATTGACTACCAGTATTCTTCTTGTCTTTTCTTCTTGTTAGCGATTGGTTATCTAGTTGCATGGACTGATTGATTATTACGGTGGGGAGCTTCTACTTGCACTCCACCTACTAAAATCCTTTAAGCACCCTGATTGGTGGTTGGGATAATTGTTATTTGGAGTGTGGATATGGTGGGACTCAACTGGTTTATAGATAGAACATACCTTGAAATATTTTTATTATGAATTTTCTTCGATGTATTAGCAATTTTTATATATTTGTGCCAAGATATTTTTGTATTCCATTTGTAGAGCACCAACTTTGTTTTCTTTTCCAGCTCCGATGAGGCCTCATGGAAGAAATCGACTGATTTACTTGTTGAAGTCGCGAGTCACGTTGAGAATACTGGTTATGAGGTGCCTTGTTTAATTGTTGCTGCCAAAGATGATCTTGATTCATTTCCCTCGGCCATACAAGATTCTACGAGGGTAAATTCTTTTCTCTATGTACCATACATATTCAATGGTTTTAATAATATCGAAACGTTCCACTGAGGTTACTGTATTGACGAAGAAAAGTAGAAGCTCATATACACTCCATCTTTCCCATAGAAGAAACTATTATTCATCAAATATATCTTATTAGAATAAGTTCAAATTCTGTATTTGAACAAAAAAATGTCCTTTAGCTAGTTGCATACTTAAATAATTTTGTTCAGTTGAATGAAAGTTGGTTTCCTACTAAATAATGAGCAAAAAACAGTACAATGCCGAATGTCCATAGTAAGTTTTTTTTTTTGTTCTTTTTAATTCTTTTTTATAAACCATAATCAACTTCTTAATGATATAATGAAGATGAAAAAATGTTTAAGGGTTACAACTCCCGAAGGGAGTGAAAAGGAAGGAAAGAAATACCAAAGGACTTAGAGACGGTTACAATCTTTTTCCTCGTGCACATTAATGAAAACTGAGCGAAGTTGAGGAATGGACTGTCTAGAGACCTCTAAAAGGTGACATTAACGTTGTCTTGAAAGTGGAAGAAAATTTTGACTTACCATTAATTGCCCCTAAAAACCTAGAATAAAAGCTTCATGGAAAAATGCTTCTGCTAAAATACCTTTTGAAATACGAACAAAATAAATATTGACTTAAACAATCCAACACCTTGATGAGAAAGAACCATAAAAGCCTCACAGATCTTCAAAGAAAACTACCACGAACGAACAAAAAAAAAAACTTCATCCAAGAAACCCTTTGGAAATCGAACTAATGAAATAAATGCCGACCAAGCAAACCAACGCCTTGATGAGAGAGGTTCATCATGTTCAAATGAAGTTTTTTCAAATTGGTGGAAAAATTCCCATAAACTTACAAAATACATGATAAGAGAGGAATCAGCGAGCTAAATGCCAACAACTTCATGAGAGAGAATCATAAATATGCCACAAATTTTCAACGGAAACAACATTATCATCCTCTATCCTCAAAGATGAAAGATGCAAAGCGAAGATCAAGTGTTGCAAAATGTTATTAGTAATTAACTCTTCCAAGTCAGGAGGTCCCTCGAGAAATAACATTTTTGATATCATATTGGCTGCAAGTATTGAGTCTGCAACTGGCATGTATTGAATCTGTTAACGGTTTTTCTTTGTAATTCATTTTTTGTTTGGGTCTACTTTCTAATAATTGCTTTTATTGGCCTGTTAGTGACCACTGGAATGTAGTATTTTAGTAACGATTGCCATTGAAATCCTGAATCTTTAAATATCATTGTTCTCATCATAATAGTCTGGATGCAATTTGGTAGGTGAGCCAAGATATGGGTATAGAAGCTCCAATACCTATCAACACAAAATTAGGTGATTTCAATAACGTATTCCGAAGAATCGCATCTGCTGCAGAGCACCCTCATTTAAGCATCCCTGAAACTGAGGCAGGCAGAAGTCGCAAGCAGTATCACAAGCTCATAAACCGCTCTCTTATGTTTATTTCAGGTATGGTGATAGTTTCTGGAGTTTTACCCTCCACTCATGACCCAACATGTAAAACCTGTATTCGAGAATTACTATTAGCTTAGATTTCTATGTATGATCTTTTGCTTCATTGGTCGGTTGCTTAGATGAGTTCATATGTTTGATTCACTTGATTTTTATTGTATGTCCAGAAATGGGACTTTTAATTGTATGTCTCAATCACTGATCTAACATTTCAAGTTATTTGATTTGAATCTTTGTGACTGATTTTGTAATGTGGTTGGTTCAGTTGGAGCTGCTGTAACGGTCGTTGGACTGGCAGCTTACCGCGTCTATATCACAAGGAAGAATTCATCCAGCTAAAAATGAGGAAGGGCAATGGCAATGGCATCGTTTTGCTGGTTGGTACCCTAAATCTTTATACTTTCATCTCTTTAATGCTTAGCCCATCTGTCATATTTCTCTTGACTCTATTGGGTTTCCTGAGTTGGCTTCTTAGATAATATCATTATAGATGATGATAAGTTGCAATTTTCAATCAAAAAGCACTCTTCTAGTCTTAGTTCTCTGTTTTTTTTTTTTTTTTTTTTTTTTTTTTTTTTTTTTTTTTTTTTTTTTTTTTTTTTTTTTTTTTTTTTTTTTTTTTTT